GCTCAGAGATGGAATTTGAACCGGGTTTAACTCCTATCACTGGGCATTAGTTTAATTGGGCTGCRGGCCCGTGGCTCTGCTGACAGCAGGTTCTCTGGGAGCATTAGATCCTCGCAGCCGGCTCCCCCAGCCCGCTGACAGCTGCTCTTTTCAGCCAAGAGGAGGGCAGAGATTAGGCTGTCTGCAATTGGATTTGCCCAGGTTAAGGTGGAAACAAAGCAGGGCCACGGCTGGGGAGGGGGAGATCACCTCGGTTCACCAGCTGATATTTTCTAGCGGGGTTTTCCTTCTCCCTCAAGAGCTAAACTGTGCCTGACACCGTGCCCTTCTCCAAAGGATCACAAGCGAGTGGGCACAGCGAGTTATGACTAATTCCTCGGCAGCCCAGGCAAATTGCTTTTCAGGACTACTGCYGGCCTAGATCTGACACCAGCCCCAGCAGCAAGACAACAAAAAAGCCTCTCTGGCTCGCTGAGGCTCTCGGCAAAGCCATCCCACTCTCCTGACTCCAGCCAAAAAAGTCACAGCCTAACAAATGTTTGTTTTTTTTTTAACCTTCCCCCTCACCATCCTCTTTTGTGGTCCGGTSTCTGTGAGTGGGAGATCCTCCAGCCACAACCACTTCCCTCCYCACGGGCTGGGGATGCAGCCCTGGAGCTGCCACACCTTCCCACTTCCTGCAGCTGGAACCCAACATCTGGAACATCCCAGCTCTGCTCCCAAAGGTCCTGCACAGATGGAGCAGCTCAGCTCACAGCTGGGAGGTGAATTTGGGGGAGCTACAAAGCAACCCCATCCCATCCATTCCACAGAATGCCCCATCCCGGGGGATGCCGGTGGTTTCCTGCCCTTTGTTCTGCTTTGAAGTGAAGTCCCAAGGTTTTGGGCTTCCTCTTTTCTGCTTTTCCTGTTATCTGCTGCCTGGAGAGCAACATCATCATCATCATCATCATCACAGGGCAAGTGGAAGCCATTTAAAAAATCGTTTTCCAACTTCGTTGACACCCAAATCTTGTCCTTGGGGAGCTGAGGGAGGAAGGAAGGAAAAGGAAAAGGCCTGGAAACGCTGCGGGTGCTGAATGAACCTCTGCCTGCCAGATCTTCTGAGCTGTTCTATTTAATACACACACATGTATGGATAAGCAAAGCCTGCCAACTGCTTCAGAACAGCACATTCCAGCAGCTCTGGGGAAGGGAAGAGCTCCGAGGTGCCACCGTTCATCTGCAGCGAGGCCGAGCCCAGGGAGGGCTGATTTTAGGGGAGAAAACCTCACCCAACAGCAAAGGCAGCAGGARGGGAGGGAAATCAGAGCAAGGAAATGGAATTAATTCTGCTGGGATGTGAGAATGGGTGGGCTGGAAAGGACCAGCAAAGCTGGCCAGACACCCAGAGTGCAGAGGAGTTGGTTCTGGCACCAGTTTGGAAATGCTCTGGCACTGGGGACACTGGGAAAGGGGGTGAGAGGAAAAATGTCACAGAGAAAGGAATTGAGGGCTCCTGGCATGAACTGGGAGGGGTGAGAGGCTGGGCTGCCTCACCTGAGGGACCACTGGCAGCA